CGCCACAAAATACATTATACATATTTCCTTAATGCTCAAGGAAAATATTTTGAGAAAATAAAAAATTTATTTTTTTACAAATTAGTACATAAATCACCGTTCAATCTATTTATTTTCACCTTCGGATCACTGTGAAGTTTTGGAAATTAAGGTGAGACATTACGTTTGAGATTATTGGGTGTAGAGTCCATTTGACTATGTTTTGAGCCTCACTACTATATTTTTTCACTTATTTTTTTAGTTTTCGGCTTAAATATTCTATTAAATGTAAATTTGTTGCTCAATAAACCGTAAAACTGTTTACAAATTCCTTAAAAAGTTTAATTTAATGCTCAGGAAATTTTTTTTGTGAAAATAAAAAATTTGCATTTTGTAAAAACCGTGGGTGTTAGGTTGGCTTGACGCATGAAAAACGAGATGGACTCAACTTACGCAGAACGAGGCAAACTATAACACACAAAACAAGGCGAACTCCGCTCATAAAAAATGAGGCAGGCTCTTGGCATGTAAAATGAGTCGAGCTCTGTGCACAAAAAACGAGACGAGATACATAGCACAAAAATATACAAAATACAAAAATGATTCAAATTATTGCGAGTGCCACAAAGTCACGCTGGACTGTCTAGCTGCCACAAAGTGAGCGTGACTTTCCAAGTGGCAATAACTGTTGTTTCTTATATGTCTACGTTTTTCATTCTTAGCTCATTCTTTTCATTTACACAAGAAGAAACTACCCTAGAAGTATTGACTCGGGAAATTATGGGGAGATTTACGTTTTAATGATACAAGCGAAAGTCTAAACTTCTTTAAGCTACAAGGAGGGGATTCAAACTCGAGCGCAAAAGGACAGGCATACTGACGTGTCAATTGGGCTAAGTTACGTCTGCTATGTTAATATCGCAGCTAAATAAAGGTTAAAAGAACAGTTTTTTCTGAAAAAAGGAAAGCATCTTTCTTGTGGTGCAAGCCTGCAAGGGTAGTAACCGTACGGTATGGTAGTAAGAAGAAGGCTCAACCAGCCAGATTTTGAAAGTTCATATGGTATGGTAACCGAACCGATACCTATAAATTGAAAAATTGGAACAAAACAGGAGTTTTGAAACAAAAGGTAAATGCAAAACGATTGGAACAACCATGGATAAGGTTACATACTGTGTATTTCTAGGTGAAAAGAAATCAAATTGTATCCAACCAAGAATCAAAATCATCCACTTCTTTAGACTTTGTTCCGGAAATAGACGATGATTGAAAATCATGGACAGCCCTTTGTTCTTGAGGTTGAGACAGACCGCCTTGGTTAATCAGTATCGATGTTTCATTTATCAACTCATCAAGCTCATCATCAATGGTAGCAGATGAATCCGGGACTTTTCTTCGAGGTTGAATCGGCATCAGGGAAGCGTCTACTTGTACAGAAAAAGTAGTACGAGACTCGAAAGCAGTTGAATCATTTATCTTGGTCTCACCAAATGAATCAAGAAGCAGATCCAGTTCCAGTTCCGCCTCTGCAGTTGATGGCTCAAATGATTTTACGCTGATTTGTGTTTCTGACTCTGGTAATTTGTGTTCATACTCCGATTTGCCAAGTATAGGATCAGTAGGAGAATCAGATATCCTAATCTCAATATCCTGGTCAGGAACCTGGACCTCCTCCGAAAAATCACTGCAGGGTGATTCTTCAGGCAATCTTCGGGCTGCTTCCTCACCACATGTTGCTTGCTCCGCATACAGCTCCGGTGGCAATAGATCCGCTTCAATGAAAAGCCTCTGCGGTAAGTCTATCTTTTCCAATTGTTCTGCAAGAGAATGCAAATTCAAGGAGAGAAATGACACCTCATGAGGTGCAGCAGTATTCTTATCCTCCACAACAAAATTATCATCTCCAATCCGTGATAGAACGCTCTCCCCCCTGACCGAAAGCATAGTTTCTATCCCCTTATTCCATTCCCCGAGCAGATCATTCTCCAAACCAGGAAATGTATCTGAATACGCGAATGACTGAGACTGAGACCGCGCCTCATCTATCAGATGACAAAAGTCTGCACCCTTACTCTTCGGAATAACTACATCAGGGGCTCGATTCGAACCATCAGCTGCTGGAACTGGATCTTCTGAACCTAAATCTAACTCTTCCTCGTAACGATCCCAATTTGATGGGAGGGCAGACGCACCCTTAGTAGGGTGAGTTTTCTCTTGAACTTGCTTTCCCAACGGATTCTTGGCGGTTCCAGCCTCATTTCCCTTGCCGCCCCCAACGGCTGCGGATTTTGCTTTCGGATTTGGATGATACTTTTTACTATGGTGCTCGGAGTGTGCCCTCTTTGATTTTGCTAAAGCCTTGGCGTCCATTGCCAGATAACTGATTTACATTTACCAGAGCCAAAAATATGAACTAATGTGAGGTTGTATTGCTATCATCTAACATATCACGTCCGCAATTTCGACGCGAACACTAACGGAATTGGCTAAAAGGACCGATGCTCCACATTAAATCGAATTCAGATAACAAGTGTCGCGGATTTTTAATTTAAGGACCAAAGCTCCAATTCGGTCTTAGTTTAGGACTATTTCTCCAATTCTTGCATGATAAATTCTTAATAAATTAGGAAAGATAATAACAAATTCTTATTTTTAAATGCGTGAAATTGGATGTTATGGAATCTGGAAAGTTTAAATACCTGGAGAGTAGAAGAGCCGCAGTCGACAGAGCACGTAAAGGAGCGGTTTGTAGGTTTTGGGCCGCCGGAAGAGGTTGTACTGACACGGAGGGGGAGCCTAAAGTGAGAAGGTCAAGGCGGAGAACCGCGAGATCGTTGGTAGGTTCTACCCACAGAGAGCTTTCGCAGAGAGAGAGAGAGAGAGAGCGATGAGGAAGACGTAAGAGAAGGGCTTTTTCCTTTCTTTCTGATTTGATGCCACATGGGCTTTTGGGTAACAAGTAGAAAAAGGGTTTGCACATCGCGTGGGCTTTAAAAAGCAGAAGGTAGTGGGCTTGTTCAATATTTGGGAAGAGAACAATATAAGATACTCTAGTCGGTCCGATTCAGTTTGGACCGGATCTAAAAGGCATGAACCGGATTTTTTTTTTGTTGTTAAACGGTAGATTTTGTTAGATTAGTCACCGACGGAATTCGAATCCACGCTGTCGTGCAAGGGCTCAACACATTTCCACCACTGTGATAAAAGGTCACTTGCGCATGAGCCGGAATTTGATTTGGTATTTTCCGTTTGATTTTTTTTGTTTTTAAAGACTTGGCTCTTCAATGATTGAGAAGGAACTCCTCTTTAAAAACGTCGTGATTTTTTTTTTCAAAATTTCATGTTTATGATCGAAATCGTTCATATTATAAATCACTATATAAAGATTATCTCTACAAAAAATCAATTAAAATTAAGATTGTATAGTCATCGAACTGTATAAGAACATATGAACGGATTCGGCAAAAGAATTACGAATCATCTATCTATTTGTTATAATTGGTTTGCTAAACGATCTTAGTTTTAATTGCTTTTTTGCAAAGATGATATTCACAAAGTGATTTATAATATGAACGATTCGGTCATAAACACGAAGTTCTGTAAATAGGCACATATGTATAATAGGATTTCAATTTTGGTCACGTATTATATAATGACATATGATGCATGGTCTTGTGTTGTGATGTTGCCTTTGAGCTTGATGCGAAAGGGGTGCGGATATGAACAACTGACGTGAGCAATTGTCAAGGAATCTTTCTTTTCATGTTATATACCTTTCAATATGCATTTCTTCCTCCTCCCTAATAAAGACTTCCGCGGTTCTACTTTATTTTTAACCCAAAACAAACATCACTTGGCCCAGAAGGTACAGAGGTTGGGCAGGCTTACCTCACAAACATTGGATTGGGATAATAAAAATACTAATCCTTGCTAAATTCATGCAAATTACATACAACACCCACCACAATCCCCAAACGCATTTCAACTTTTACCGCATTTGCTGGGATTACTTGCCGCGCTGCAAAAAGTGACGTTAAATTTACCTATTTGTTGGGAATAAAACTCAAAGCAGTAGTCCCCAGCCCCCGACAATTTTTTCCAATCCCATGTGAACCGAACGATCCAAATCGCAGCAAGACCACATTACTGTCAATTATTGGCATAAGAATATCCCGATCCCAAACAAAATACAAGGAAATCAAACGCCAAATTCCAAAAGTCCTTTCCCATATCTTTATCACCCCACAAGCTGGAACCCATTTCATTGATGATGATGATGTATCCCACTCCAGTGGCTTTCAAATACCATAACTTGGAGTAATTTTTCTGCAGCACCCCAAAATAGTTCTTGCTTATACTTGTTTCATAACCCGAAAGCTTTTGTTCGTAGTCTCTTGTTCGAGGATCTGTGTCAGGCCTTGAGATCCATACTAGTGCGATTGTATTGCTTTTTTTTCGTTTAGGGTTCGGTCTTGTTTTCGTTGCCAATTGCTTTTTGGTTGAATGCTCTAATTCTGACATAATATCAGGATGAGCTATTCACGTGTTGGGCTAAGCGGTCACGCTCGTTCCAACGTCAGTCAATGTACATTGTTCGTATTGGGTTTTTTACACTAACACATAAGCACGTTGAAATTGCCAGAATGGAGCTTATGGAGTTAGAGTACTTTGTTGAGCTTCAAACCTTTAAAATAGACCTTTTCCGGGGAAGATTTTGCAGAGGTCATATGATTTGTTACCAGAAAAGCATTGTACATGTAACATGCATCACTGATTCATGTAATGTCATTGCCATGAAAAATTGTCGTGTTAAAAGTGATTGCGGTGAAAATAGGCACAAGAAATCAGTTATCGGCCTTGGCATTTTCATTTCATGCAAATCAATCATCTCAGAGACGATACTAGTGGATTAACGAAGAAACAAATTATTTGACTTCTCAGCCCTCCACCCCCCACAAACATACAAAATATCTCCGCTGTATATTATCATCCATTTTCACTTCTCTTCCACTCATCCATTTTCACTCTCTTCCACTCAATCAGTTTCTCAAACAGCAACCTTGCAATCTGCCTTTAAATAGAGTGCAATCCCTCCCCTTCAATGAGGCACCCCAAGTTCCCATAACCCTAAAAAAACCACTCCAACCATGCCTTCTACCAAGCAGCTCTCAGCAACCCTCCTCATCTTCTCAATCCTTTTCTACTCATCCACATTCTCCATTGCTTGCGGCACATGCAAGCCTGCTCTAGCGCCCGCGCCTATGGCTGAAACCTGTCCTAAAGACACACTGAAGCTAGGGGCTTGTGTGGACCTTCTAGGACTTGTCAACCTCCAAATCGGAAGCCCGCCTACAAGTGGTTGCTGTGCGTTGCTTGAAGGGTTGTCCGATTTGGAGGCTGCTATTTGCCTCTGCACTGTGATCAAGGCCAATGCGCTAGGGCTCAACATGGAAGTGCCAGTAGCTTTGAGCTTGCTTGTTAGTGCCTGCCAGAAAACAGTCCCTCCTGGCTTCAAATGTGAATGAGATTTGGGAGCTAATCACAAGCTCTTTGATGTGTGGAGTACAATATTGTTCATGTGTGATGATAATGTTGCTAGTGTTGGTTTTTTATACTCTTTCTTTTGCCATGGTTGTTCCTATTTGCAGGCAAGCATGTTTGCCTGTATGAATAATTATGAAAAGTTGTTGTTGATGTAATTTGGTGCTATGAATTAATGTATTTAGCTCATGATTTAAATCTCATGGCATGTTATTTTATAAACTAATTAGTTTATATTTTTTACGGTTTAGATTAATTAGTTCAGTAGCTGAGCATTACTTACATTGGGAAGCTACTTTTATTGTTGATTTTAGAGCATTACTTACATCGGGAAGCTACTTTTATTGTCAATGTCTTAGTTTCTAACTTTTTATGGGCATCCATTTTCCAAATTTAGTTGGGAGCTAAGATTTCAAGTTAGGAGTGGCCTCTCACAACTGTACAGAATACACTGCAACGCTGCCAATAATGGCAGCTCTACAACACGATCGCGAATCCCGCTCACAAGCTTGCGAATCCATCTCTCAGCCATCGTCTCATCCATCATCTGAAATCCAACTATTGATCCTTCTTCTTCTCTCTGCTTGTCTCTCTCACAGTCGTGCTCTCTCTCTCTCTCTCTCTCTCCCTCCCTCTCTCCCTCCCCCCATCTCTATGGTTCTTTCCCTCTGTCAATTGTTCTTGCAAATTTAAATTTAATTCATTGCATCAATTTTGTGATTTAATGGCCTTTGATTGCACGTTTTAGTTTTTAATTGGAGGCTTGTTCTGGACATTGGGGTAGACATCTATCTATTTTAGCCACTACTTTGATACTCTAGATTTTTGGTCTTATTTTGATGTTTCTTTGCTAGGTGACGATGGTGGTGATTTTTCAGTTTCACTCCATTTCATTGGTACGTTTCGATCAGTTGGGAGCCGTGTTAATTGACAAGGAAAACAACCTAATAGAAAGGCTAACGAGAATGAAAATTGCACATGGATTGAAGCAAAATTCAAGCTTGTCAACGACCACTAGCACCATGTGAAAAAAAATTAAACTCCGGGAGAATCAGCTCTCTCGCCTACTCTCTCTCTCTCCCTCTAGTTGGTGCCTGATACCCTGAAAAAAAATTTGGAAATCAAAAGGATAACTCTAGTTTTTTCTCGTGAAAAAAAAAATGTCAGGATAAGGCCCGAACCATTCTAATCCCTTCATGATTCTGCCCCTGTTTGCCCTATAGGCTTCTCTTTATAGTTACTGTTTTCTTATAAGAAAAAAATAACTATTATAAATTACGGGTCGAATTAGAATGCAAAGAGAAGAACACAATATGTGAGGTACTGAAAATTTGATTAGAAAGAAAGCTCAACACAATATCTTTCTCAGATCTCAACAAAATAATTGGCGTGAAAAAAAAAATGTCAGGATAAGGCCCGAACCATTATGGTCCCTTCATGACTCTGCCCTTGTTTGCCCCATAGGCTTCTCTTTATAGTTACTGTTTTCTTATAAATAAAAAATTATTATAAATTACGGGTCGAATTAGAATGCAAAGAGAAGAACACAATATGTGAGGTACTGAAAATTTGATTAGAAAGAAATCTCAACACAATATCTTTCCCAGATCTCAACAAAATAATTGGACATCAAGATTGATTCCAATACTATTTGTAACCAATATAAAAAAAAAAAAAATCTAATTTGGCTACAAATGACTCAACACATATATCTTTCCTCAGAAGCTTTTCTTCTCGGATTTCTTTTTTGTAAAATTTTCTTTTCAGGATTTTAAATTACTCCCTTGAGCCTGTTAAAAAAGAAAAACATTCACAATGTTAATCACACTCCACAGCCACAAATCATATATATGATTAATCATGTTTAAAATGATTATTCTTTATGATAATTATTCCTTTTTAGTACATAAATGCATGAATAACATGTTTATATTATCTAGCATAATTTTGTCGATGATGATTTTTGGCACTCCTAAATCACATTCAAATAGCCTCATGGTATCTCATGTATACTGGGTGAAATTGCCACAATCGGCCCCGGTTGTAGTTCTTGTTTACCTTAATTTGTTTTAAACTTTCAGGTTTTAGACAAACCAGTAATATGCTACATGACGAGATCCATGGGAAGCATTCTCGAAAGAACTCTTAAGATGTATCGTGATTCATGTGGAATGCATGATCAAACCATGCACCTATCCATATCTTCATGAATTTATGAACTAATCGGTGTGAATAATGAGTTTGTTACCAAATTGATCAACCAAAAGCGAAATCCACCTTTTGTGGAAATTTTGCATGAAATGAGGAAAAAATGGATATTGCATTGCTAAAGTTTTAGGTATGCCACTTTCGTGCATCCTTTTCTAGCTGATGGCACATAGAAATAGAGTTATGGAGAGAGATCTGGTATTGAAAACTCAGCCTGCAAAACTGATCTCAAAAACTTCATCCAAAAGCGCTTTCACCCTAACCCCTGCTTTTGATTTAAGCAATGGGTAAAATGGCAATGCCAAGTGGTGGGTCCAAATTGTGTGCTGGTGCTAATGTGCTGAAATTTGATTGGTTGATCATCAGAAGATGCTGACCATCTTGTTCTATAAATAACCTCCCAATTCATCAAATCTCCTACATGCCTCATCAGTTTCTTTCCCCTTTTAAAATAATCAGTGCACATACAGATGATCCTCCCTGTAATTTTCCACGGCTTTCTTGAACTGTGCAGTTTCCAGAAGAATTAAACTGGCAGAAATTTTTCATGCAGATACAAAAACAGTTCAAGAAAGCTGTGAAAAACCACCGGCAGGATCTGAGTTGTTCATAAAAAGATTCTGATTGTCTCCTTCAAGCTTCTATGCCCTCCCATGGCTACTGGTTTTCTTCTGCAGTACTTTTGCAGGAATATCCTCATTCCAGCTCTATATAACACATACGCTTTTGTGTTTATGATGTGTTTTAGCCTTTTTCTCTCTTTATGTATCTTTATAGGGTTGTGATTTCCGCACTCACTTTTTCTCCCATTGTACTCTTTCATGTTTTTATTATAGGGTTTGGATTGAATAAGTCCACGGAGAATCAAGGAAAAGAATGAAGGTGTACCGAAGGAGAAAACGCGAGTGTGAAATTGCAAGGTTGTCAAAAGTTCTCTACAAAGTTTATGTCTTTTTCTTCTTCTTAGGGTTGGTAATAAATTTCATGAAGATTCATGACTAAAAGCTTGCAATTCTTGTATTTTTTCTACAGATTAAACCCGCAAATTCTTGACAAGAAAGACTTGCACATGAATCGTAGGCTGATCGACAACACAATTAAAGGTCAACAGTCTTGAATTCGATGGCCGTACACTCATATTAATCAGTGTATTATAGTACCAAAATAGGCGGTTGAGTCATTTACAAAGTGTATTTCCCTAGCTTGATTCCTCTTGAAGAAACAAGGCACCTATGTCTATGTGATTGCAATATTCATCAAGGCAGACTATAGGCACTGAATGATCAGCTTCAAGCTTGTCATGTTCTCCTATAGGGGCTATGGGAAAAATATAAGTCCTTTTCCATATAAGAAGGTCAATATTATTAATAGGCCGGTTTAGGGCAGATACTAGGCCTGGTTTTAGGCTGTTAGGTCTGTAGCTCTACCCAGGCATCCACTTTTTGTCATGTTTGATTTTCTTTTCTGAACGCAGGTTCATGCTCTTTACGGATTCTTGTCTGTGATGTATCATTGTAAAACATTGAAAGTTAAAGTATAAATGAATGAGAATAATAACACCTTCCTTTTTTGTCTAGATAATTTACTTTTGCGAATAACACTTTTGATTTAAACTATAAATCCTGACATTCAAGAGTGAAGTTTGCTAGTCGTAACTTGATTTTATATAAATTATGTCTAAAGAGAAGTGTTATCCATTTGGGTCTAAAACCAAGTTACGACTCAAAAACTTCCCACTCGGGCATTAGGGTTTAGAATTTAGAGTTTAGGGTAAAACAATAAAGGCTACGGAACCATGATTCCTGGATGTCAATCCCAAGCACACTTCTCTCACGGTGCAAGGAATGCGTGTGAGTTAGGTTTTGCATAGACAGCCGAACACACTGCATAAGGGTGTGAAGTCCTTTTGCTGAAGCTCAGGAGACATGGGGTCTTTTCTTGCCTCCTCTTCTTTTTAGAGATTAGTAATGAGTCTATCATGACTCAAGCCACCTCATATTTACTTTTGATTTATACGAGTACGAAGAATTGTGCAAGATCAGTCTGTTTAGTGATATTTGATCTCTACTTAGTTGAAAATTGTATCATTTTTGACAATTACTTTTTATTAGAATGAGTATGAAATTTTTTGCTTGACTAGTCTGTTAGTAACACTAAATTAATCTCCGCTTAGTTGAAAATTTTCTCATATTCGACAATTACTTTGGAATAACATGTGTATGAAATTTTTTCGATGACTGGTCTACCTAGTGACATTAGATCTCTACCTTGTTAAAGAATATTGTCACAGATTCGACTCACATGATGGTAAACGATGTGAAAAATTCAAAATTTCCATCAAAACCATTCAATTCATTATTGATCTACCCAAAATAGCCAAACCTCTGAGATTTTTTTTGGATCTTGTGTAAAAATCTTATTTTGGGAAAGAAAGGTGAGCCACATGATAAAGACTTAAAGAGTGAAAGGGCGGTCTCTTTTTGCCATCTATAGTTGACAAGAAAGGGTAAGCATGCACAATATTTTGGGATTTTTTATTTGTCACTTTGACAACGTTATTTTCACTTGTATTGTTGTACTTTAAAATTTGTTCTTTCATAAAAAATAGAAATTTTGATTAGGGCATTAATACTAATTATCTCACAATTATTTGCATAATAAAATGTTCTAAACAAAACAACTCTTACCTTACAAGAGATTGGTTCAACTAATGGTTAACAAGAGAGACTTGGCATGCTTAAGGGAACCCACTTAATTATTTAGGAAACTTTATGAGATTTGGAAATGCAACAAACAAGAGATTAATTAATAGCTCACAAAAACTTTATGAGATTTGGTGATGCAACAATCATATTAAGTGGTTTGCTTTTTCGTCGTTTAGTGCCTCATACTGGATTGGATAATTACTATACTTCGTGTATATTAAAAGAATAAATGAAGAAATTTTGTTCAACTTGAAGGTAAAAGACGGATAGCACATTAAGAAAACGTATCCTTTCTAATCTCCACAAAATGGTATGGTAATAAGAGCTAAGTTTCCTTCATGTCTAATCCCTTATCATCTCCTAGAAAAAAAAATCATTCATCTCTATCACATATACTTTGAGGACGTGCTTACTTATTGTATAAGTAATGAGAATGTCATCCCTGATTGTTCAAGTATGAGATAAACGAGCCTCTTAGTGAACATAATATTCAAGTTTGAGAATGATATCGATACATGAACAATTAGGTATGATTCTCATTCACGGCTTCTCCTATTTTACATAAGTAATGTCTTCCATGTTAAGTCAATTTCTTTTAATCTGTTGCTAATGAAAACCATGGACTTCTAATTTGTTGTTTAATAGAGCCATTTTCTTCACCAAACTATACCGCAAGAATGGACAAGCCTATGGCAACTATTTAAGCCCATTTCAATATAAAACTAGCCAAACCACAAAAACCAAAAACCTGTATATTGGATTTTGTTGGTTCGAAACACTATCAACTCCGGTCGGTTGGGTTGATGAGTTGAACTCCAACCCAAAGGTCCAAACTAGTTTTAATCTTAAACGATTCACAAAAGAGCAATTTGCAAATATGTACGCTTATAAGAAGATAATTGCTACATAAGAAACCGTAGTTTCGTGATCTAAAACAAGTCACCCCTAATATCAACTACTTAGGGGTGAAAATACGGGTCTTTGGGCCCGTGGATCCAGAACTTATTAATCGGCTTTATGTAAAAGCATCCAGTTTTTATTTTTGATTTTTAAAATGGTCCAAGTTGGACCCGGCTTGTTAAAAACAAGTCCATATTTTTTATGCGTGGGCAACCCGACCAGATCGTTAAGGGTTGTCATGACACTTGTTATTTTATTAGTAGTCCACAATGAAACCCATGATCCATAATTCCATATCTATCAAACGTTAAGAAATAAAACAACGATCAAACTTCTTCAAACAAAGAGTCATAAGAGTCCCTTAAGAACATTTGGTGCTATTGATTTTGTTAGATGTAATTTTTTCGTAACAAAAATATTTAGAGATTATTTTATACTTTGTTTTGTTATACGACATATGATTGAAAACAGATATGTTCCACTAATAAAAGTACATAAAATCGAACCGACTCAGACTCATTTAAAAAGAAAAAATTTGTGTGTATCCAACCAAAATGAACCCGGCTCAACTCGCGCCCACCCCTAGAACTGCTTGTTGGTTTTAGCAATATTAATATTCTTAATGCCGAAAGCTTCAAGTTCAGAATCTCCCCTTAATCAAAATAATACTCCGCAAAACTCTAGGCTTTAGCTAGACCTAGCAATGCGGTCGTGGTTTTACAGGTGCATATTCTGTCGTTTTGGTCCAAAGTGAAAATTAGCTCAATTTAAACACGAAACAACACGACTCGCAAATTTTAACTATTAACACAACACGACTTGTTTCCTTCCTTTTTAAACGCAATAATAATGGGTTGAACTTGTTATCAACACGATCATCAATGCTCATTCCCAAACACTAGACTTTTTGTGCGTGTGTTCGACCTAGTTTGGGAGTGAGGTGCTTAAAAAAAAAGCACCTATGAAAAAAAGCTGTGAGGGTTTTAGGTGTTTGGTAAACTGAAAAAAAAGGGCTTATTTTGGAAGCTGCTGTGAGAATAAGCTGAAATCAAAGGAAAAAGCTGAAGCTACTATTTGCAGCTTTGGAAAAATGGCTTTTTTTCAAAGCACACGGAGTTACAGTGCTCCTTTAACGAAAAGACCCATTATCAGACTGCTTTTTTTTTCCAAAAGCACTTTTACAAAAAAGTTTACCAAACGCTCTGCTGATTTATTTCACAGCCGCTTATTCTCACAGCACAGCCACTTATTCTCACAGCAGCTTTTTTTCAAAGCACAGCAATACCAAACCAGCCATTCGTTTCGTGTTATCAAGGTGTGCAGAATTTCGCCAACTCTAGCGTAACGATCCAAATGGGCCACTAGCAATTATGGGCCATGAGGCCCATGATGACAAACCTTTATGCCGAAGCAAATGGTCCAAAATAGGCATCCGATGCTTTCTTTGTCCCCGCCGTGAAGCTCAATGCAACTGCAAACGGAGACAGTTAGGTAAGACTGTTAATATTACCCCAAAAAAAGCAATTAATTTTTTTTTTTTTCCAGAAAATAATTAAAATTAAATTAAATTAAAAGAAAAAAGGAGGAGTGCGTGGGATCGGTGGAAACGAATACTGACAGACTCGGAGAAAAGAGAGAGAAGACTTGGCGATTGAGAATTTTTGCTACACAGCTGCAAAGGCGACACGCAACGCAACGGCCGCCCTCCGCCGGCTCTGGTTAGCCACATAGTCCATTCACCTGCTAACGTGCGCCATCGCTTTTGGAGTGACGACGAAGCAGAACAATGGAGGCTCTGCGGACGCCACCTGTCCGTTGTGTTTTGTGAATGAGTATTGACTCTCCTCGGCTGGTTCGTCCGATCCGATAGCCAAAACGCTAGCTTCCTCTCTCTGGCCGTTCGCCATTTGTTGAGGGAGAGTGGGCGATGATCGATTTCGATTCTTAGAGAGAGAAACAGATAGGGAGTTTTAGAGAGAGAGAATTATAGGAAGATCGGAAAATGC